TGAGTTTTTGATTGTAGTTTGCAGGCCTGTCTACCTACCCAGGGAGTTTAGCTGTGTTATCATCACTGCTGTTTACGTGCCTCCCAGTGCTAACACGAAGGTGGCTATGTCTGTTCTCTACCAGTCCATCAGTGAGTTGCAATCCACTTATACTGAGGGTATCTTCATTGTGGCTGGGGATTTCAACCAGGCCAACATGAAAACAGTTTTTCCACACTACCACCAGCATGTGGATTTTGCAACTAGGGGACAGAGCATATTGGATAAGGCGTATACAAACATCAAAGGTGCTTTCAGAGCAGGCCCCCGCCCCCAACTTGGCTCGTCAGACCATCTATCCGTTATGCTAATTCCCGCATACAAGCCCCTGCTCATCAGAGAGAAACCTATAGTGAGGCAGATGAGAGTATGGCCAGAGGGGGCAATGGAGGTACTTCAGGACTGCTTTGACTGCTCTGACTGGGACATGTTTAGGACGGCTGCCACTTATGGCGGTCATACGAACATTGATGAGTATGCCATGTCGGTGTCAGCCTACATTAGCAAATGTACGGATGATGTTAGTGTCATGAAGACCATCATTACCCGAGCCAATCAGAAACCCTGGGTTACTGCAGAAGTACGTAAGATGCTAAAAGCACGGAACGCTGCCTTCAAGTCTGGCGATGCAGAGGGGGTGAGAACAGCAAGAGCCAACCTGAACCGTGCCATCAGGCTGGCAAAGCGTTCTCACAGTAAGAAAATCGAGGATTTGTTCCATGACTCAACCAACACCAGCAACATGTGGAAAGGCATAAAAGCTATCACTAACCACAAGGTAACACCTCCATTAGGGGGGTGAGACTGACATTGACCTTCTCAATGAGCTAAATAGTTTCTTTGCGAGGTTTGAGGCACTAAACAGCACTCGCGCAGAAAAGGCAGTTCCTCTTCAGCAGGAAAAAGCACTCTGCCTGGACATAGCTGATGTACGGAAGTCTCTGAGGAGGGTAAACACCCGGAAAGCCCCAGGCCCTGATAACATCTTGGGGCGAGTGCTCAAGGATTGTGCAGACCAGCTAGCTGGTGTTCTGACGGACATTTTTAACATCTCGCTAGACCAAGCCATAGTGCCAACGTGCTTAAAGTCTGCCATCATCATCCCAGTGCCAAAAAAATCTCGGATGACCTCATTAAACGATTACCGGCCCATCGCACTGACTTCCATTATAATGAAGTGCTTCGAACGGCTAGTTAAAGACTACATCATCTCCAGACTCCCTTTCATGTTTGATCCCTTCCAGTTTGCCTACCGGCCAAATCGCTGCACTGCGGATGCCATCTCCTCCGTCCTGCACTTGAGTCTTGCGCACTTGAAGAAGAAGAACACGCATGTTAGGCTGTTGTTCCTGGACTTCAGTTCAGCTTTTAATTCCATCATTCCTCAACATCTGGTAGAAAAACTGGGACCTATAGGTTTCAACACACCCTTGCGAAATTGGCTGCTTGATTTCCTAACTGACAGACCTCAATCAGTGAGGGTCGGACAGAACACCTCCAGTGTCATTACTCTCAGTACGGGCTCCCCTCAGGGCTGCGTCCTGAGTCCTCTGTTGTTCACCCTGATGACACATGACTGCGTTCCTAGGCATGCCACAATTTACATCGTGAAATTTGCAGATGACACAACAGTGGTAGGCCTAATTAAAGATGACAACGATTTGGCCTACAGAGAGGAGGTGGAGCAGTTGGTGGGCTGGTGCAGTGATAACAGTCTGATCCTGAACGTTGACAAGACCAAAGAACTCATTGTCGACTTCAGGAAGAACCAGCCCAGCCATGTGTCACTACTCATTAACAACATACACGTGGAGGTGGTTGGTACCATAAAGTTTCTGGGTGCGTTCATTACTAACGATCTCACCTGGTCTGTAAACACTGCATCATTGGTGAAGAGGGCACAGCAGCGAATGTACTTCCTACGGAGGATGAGAGGAGCTCATCTGCCCCCACCTGTCCTCACCACTTTCTATAGAAGCACCATAGAGAGCATCTTGACCAGCTGCATCTCAGTGTGGTGTGGAGGCTGCAGTGCCTCTGACTGGAAGGATGTTGGAAGGGTGGTGAGAACGGCAGAGAGAATCATCGGAGTCTCTCTCCCCTCCATTCAGGACATTGCAGAGAACCGCTGTGTAGCTCGGGCCAGGAAAATCTGCAGGGACCCCTATCATCCCCTGTACAGTCTATTTAGTTTACTGCCCTCCGGAAGGAGGTTCCGCAGTATGCGGTGTCGGACCTCCAGGTTTTATAACAGCTTTGTCCCCCAAGCCATCAGACTGATAAATAAGTTGTCTTATACTTTGACTGCTGTCAGATATGGAGCTAGATACTTTGATAGTAAATTATTTAGGGGATGAACATTTACTTATGCTGCATTGAAACTGCTAAAAACTGTGGCCTATGCAAACGAAATTTCGTTTTGTATACACTTGTTGTATTATGAATGACAATAAAGTCTGTCAAGTCAAGTCAAGTCAAATATATTTTTTTTATTAAAAAATGTATTTAATGTAATAAACAAGTACACTATTATATAATTAAAGTATATTTTTGTTGACATTAATTGCTTGTCAGTATATTTGGAAGTACACTTTTACCATATTTCAAAAATAACTCTTAAAGGTGGAATGCCTAAGATTTTATGCCGCTAGAGGGCGCTACATTCAAAACAACAACAACGGCTTTGCTTGATGACGACGTGGAGGAACGCGGAATGATGGGAACTGTTGTTTTCAACTCCACCGTGGATAAATCAGTCAGACGGGAATCGAAAATTAGTTGTCATGGATGAGGTAAAGTTCGATTTCTATAAATGTTGCGTTTAATGACATGCTTGTTTTCATTAAACTGAAATAACCGCAAGAAAAATCTGGTTTAAAAGTAAATTAGTTATCACAGATGTTACAGTACGAGTCACTGGACGAAGTGACTTATTTTTGTCTCAAATCGTTGCTAATGGATCCTGACTTCGCCCTATGCTGCAATATGGATTTAGTTTTGCATTCATTTACAGAAATCAGCTGCTTGAATACAAAAGCTGATGTTATTAGATTTTTCAGTTGAGATTCTCAATTCATTCAGTGAACGGATGCTCTGAGGTAAAGTTTTCAGAATGCAGACTCAGCAACGATTGTATTTAATTGTACAGTTGTAACGGCCACCTAAAGTTGAGAAGTGTTGGTGACATGTTAATACGCCTTTAAGATAGCTACGTCTATTGCGTACGTTATTGTATGCGTGCTGTTAATGTGAGCGCGCACGCACGCTCAGTAGAGTGAAGACGGTTGTGAAGAGAGATGACCGCTCTATCGCTGGCTGTTATTTTGTTGTATTGTGTTTTGCTTCCACTTTGTTTTTGTGACGTTTTGCAGTGTTAATTTCCCTGTTGGCATCTTTCAACATGTATGTGAACAGTGTGCCTAACTAGGGAAGGGCCGCAATAAATCACTCGTGGAGCTAACGTTACCAGTTCGTTTCCACTGTTTTTTTTCCTTGTCTTCATCTGGGCAGATTTAAAACTCTTGCAGACGTTACAAAGTACAATAACATAGAACAGACATTATCTTCCTTTCATGTCATTAAACATAACAATATTGCTGGCCATACACTGATGAGAAAATGCGTGTCCGGTGTGCGATAACGTTACCTGGAGTTGTCCTAGACGCGACGCGGAGCTTCTCGTCCGGTGTGCGACCCCCTTTACAGCCAACAGTTCACATTCCGAGAAAAATTGAAAAGAATAATTGTGCTCCCTTCCATAACAAATGCGCGAAACAAGCTGAAGTTTGTTGCTTGATAGACGCTAACGCACAACTAGAACTACCGCATTTGTCCAGGACTACACGTAGCCTAGTACGAGCGGAAACCGAGGTAACGTGGATATGACGCGATTGACTGGCGACTCCCAGCTCACCCCTGCTCACACGCCCCGTTTCCTTGGTTAAAATATAAATTTTCTCGCGATTTAAACATTGTTTGAAACATTTGGAATGTTGTAAGTTATCATCTTAACTAAATATATAACATTGGCCTTGTGATTTTGGGATATTTTAATGCAAAAATCTTAGGTATTCCACCTGTAATATCAACTAATAGCATTTAATTTGAGATTAATCTGTGATACATTTGAAATCAATTACATATAATATGCATTAAGTTTGTTGAAAACATTACACTTAATTCACTTAAGTGTATTGTTGACTGACATTAAAGTATATTTTAGTTCACATTAATTGAGTCATTATATTGTGTAGTGCACTTTAACTGTATTTTAAATACACTGGAAACAATTGTGAGAGTGTATGTAAAGTTCTATTAAAGTACCAATTAAGTTGTTCCAAAAAATCACTCTTAATTGCAACTTATTACACTTTATTTCAACTTAATATGTGATATATTTGAAATAAATTACATTTAATGTGCATTCAGTGCCCCGAAAAAATTCTATTTAAAGTCACACTTAAGTGCATTCATTTAAAGTGTATTATTTTAGTAATAAGTACACTTTATAAAAGTACACTAAAGTGCACTTTTTTTCACATGACTATAGTCAATGCCCCCAGTACTAGCACTATACACTAAACAGTTTTTTAGAGATAAAACTCTTTACATTCGATTATCACGAAAACAAATCTCAGAGAACGATTGACTAGGTACTGATGTTTTATTAGAAAAAAGGTTCATTGTTCGCCGAAGTTCTCCTTTAAACATTGACAAGCATCCTATGCCATCAATGGCAGCCACATCAGCGGCAGTTGTGCAAGCAGATGTTGACCGGAAGAGCACAATATGAGAGAGAGATGAGTTTGGAAGTTTGATGTGCATGTGGGATATTTAGAAAATGAATTATAAGTTTAAAAAAATGAAAAACCCAGATGAAATATGACCGAATCATTAAAACTAGCTTAGTGTGCTCTAACTCCAAAGTTTTAGGAATTTTAGCATATGCTCACTTCACTTACCTCGAGTCAAACTTCCGTCCATCCTCGAATGTGCCGTTATACTGATACCGAATATAGTCTCCGACCTGAACCTCTCTCGAACAGTGTATTGGTATCAAGTATCGATCAATAATCACATCTTCTAACTGGCCATATAAAACATGTATGAGAGTGAGGGAAAAAACGAGAATTGGTATTATCGCCATTTAATGTAAGAAGATCGATGAGAAGCGGCAGCGTCGTTCTTTGTTTTAATCGATTAGCGTATTCTGCAAGGGAAACTGACGCCAAGATAAACCCTCCGTTTTATAATAAATTACAGCAAAATGTGAAAAATTATAATTAGTTATTCGAATAGCGTCATGTAGATGTCATACTAAAACTTGTGAAATTCTGTACAAACACGCCGGAAAAAAAGTTGATGTTCAGTCTGTGGGCTACTGTAGCCTACTGCGTGTCAGAATCCATAGAAGTGCAGCAACAACCACGCGGTCCTAAACTCCATCCGATCACTCACTCCCAGCAGTTTCACACACAGTACACCCAAGTGTCTCTTTTCTGGCTACGCTGTATTTCTTTCAGATTAAGGTCATTTTAATAGACTGACCTTTAAATTATAAATTAATGATCCAACCACTAGCTATTAAATTAATAATAATTTATTATTAAATTATAAAAATATATAAAATATAAGTAGGAAAAGAAGGCCTATAAAAATAAGTAGGAAAAAATTGCGGAAGGGACACCCACTAGCTGGGTACTTAAAATCGACGGGCTTTCAGACCCAGAAAACAGTCCTTCAGGTCAGAGCAGACCAGAATTTGAGAGGCGTTTTCCACCAAACTCTTTCAACCCCAGAGAGCCACAGATTATACGTGGAGCCTGACATGAATCTCCGCTCGTGCTCGTTAGACAGGGATCGGCACAGTTTACACTGAGGAACAAAACCATGGGCCAAACAAAACTACTATGTTTATTCGTGTTTTTCAGTACTGGATATTCTCATTTCTCTACTGTGGAGGCTCAGTATGAAAAATACAACTTCAAAAGCTTTCCACCGAACGACCTCATGCCACTGGATTCTGCGTACGGACACTCGTTAGAGATGTACTCTTCTCAGGACTGGAAACAGAGTGTTAAATATCTGAAGCTAAGCCTTCGGCTTCATCGGCTGCTGAAAGACAGCGAATCGTATTGCTGTCAGAACACCTCCATTAGGGGGGTGAGACTGACATTGACCTTCTCAATGAGCTAAATAGTTTCTTTGCGAGGTTTGAGGCACTAAACAGCACTCGCGCAGAAAAGGCAGTTCCTCTTCAGCAGGAAAAAGCACTCTGCCTGGACATAGCTGATGTACGGAAGTCTCTGAGGAGGGTAAACACCCGGAAAGCCCCAGGCCCTGATAACATCTTGGGGCGAGTGCTCAAGGATTGTGCAGACCAGCTAGCTGGTGTTCTGACGGACATTTTTAACATCTCGCTAGACCAAGCCATAGTGCCAACGTGCTTAAAGTCTGCCATCATCATCCCAGTGCCAAAAAAATCTCGGATGACCTCATTAAACGATTACCGGCCCATCGCACTGACTTCCATTATAATGAAGTGCTTCGAACGGCTAGTTAAAGACTACATCATCTCCAGACTCCCTTTCATGTTTGATCCCTTCCAGTTTGCCTACCGGCCAAATCGCTGCACTGCGGATGCCATCTCCTCCGTCCTGCACTTGAGTCTTGCGCACTTGAAGAAGAAGAACACGCATGTTAGGCTGTTGTTCCTGGACTTCAGTTCAGCTTTTAATTCCATCATTCCTCAACATCTGGTAGAAAAACTGGGACCTATAGGTTTCAACACACCCTTGCGAAATTGGCTGCTTGATTTCCTAACTGACAGACCTCAATCAGTGAGGGTCGGACAGAACACCTCCAGTGTCATTACTCTCAGTACGGGCTCCCCTCAGGGCTGCGTCCTGAGTCCTCTGTTGTTCACCCTGATGACACATGACTGCGTTCCTAGGCATGCCACAATTTACATCGTGAAATTTGCAGATGACACAACAGTGGTAGGCCTAATTAAAGATGACAACGATTTGGCCTACAGAGAGGAGGTGGAGCAGTTGGTGGGCTGGTGCAGTGATAACAGTCTGATCCTGAACGTTGACAAGACCAAAGAACTCATTGTCGACTTCAGGAAGAACCAGCCCAGCCATGTGTCACTACTCATTAACAACATACACGTGGAGGTGGTTGGTACCATAAAGTTTCTGGGTGCGTTCATTACTAACGATCTCACCTGGTCTGTAAACACTGCATCATTGGTGAAGAGGGCACAGCAGCGAATGTACTTCCTACGGAGGATGAGAGGAGCTCATCTGCCCCCACCTGTCCTCACCACTTTCTATAGAAGCACCATAGAGAGCATCTTGACCAGCTGCATCTCAGTGTGGTGTGGAGGCTGCAGTGCCTCTGACTGGAAGGATGTTGGAAGGGTGGTGAGAACGGCAGAGAGAATCATCGGAGTCTCTCTCCCCTCCATTCAGGACATTGCAGAGAACCGCTGTGTAGCTCGGGCCAGGAAAATCTGCAGGGACCCCTATCATCCCCTGTACAGTCTATTTAGTTTACTGCCCTCCGGAAGGAGGTTCCGCAGTATGCGGTGTCGGACCTCCAGGTTTTATAACAGCTTTGTCCCCCAAGCCATCAGACTGATAAATAAGTTGTCTTATACTTTGACTGCTGTCAGATATGGAGCTAGATACTTTGATAGTAAATTATTTAGGGGATGAACATTTACTTATGCTGCATTGAAACTGCTAAAAACTGTGGCCTATGCAAACGAAATTTCGTTTTGTATACACTTGTTGTATTATGAATGACAATAAAGTCTGTCAAGTCAAGTCAAGTCAAATATATTTTTTTTATTAAAAAATGTATTTAATGTAATAAACAAGTACACTATTATATAATTAAAGTATATTTTTGTTGACATTAATTGCTTGTCAGTATATTTGGAAGTACACTTTTACCATATTTCAAAAATAACTCTTAAAGGTGGAATGCCTAAGATTTTATGCCGCTAGAGGGCGCTACATTCAAAACAACAACAACGGCTTTGCTTGATGACGACGTGGAGGAACGCGGAATGATGGGAACTGTTGTTTTCAACTCCACCGTGGATAAATCAGTCAGACGGGAATCGAAAATTAGTTGTCATGGATGAGGTAAAGTTCGATTTCTATAAATGTTGCGTTTAATGACATGCTTGTTTTCATTAAACTGAAATAACCGCAAGAAAAATCTGGTTTAAAAGTAAATTAGTTATCACAGATGTTACAGTACGAGTCACTGGACGAAGTGACTTATTTTTGTCTCAAATCGTTGCTAATGGATCCTGACTTCGCCCTATGCTGCAATATGGATTTAGTTTTGCATTCATTTACAGAAATCAGCTGCTTGAATACAAAAGCTGATGTTATTAGATTTTTCAGTTGAGATTCTCAATTCATTCAGTGAACGGATGCTCTGAGGTAAAGTTTTCAGAATGCAGACTCAGCAACGATTGTATTTAATTGTACAGTTGTAACGGCCACCTAAAGTTGAGAAGTGTTGGTGACATGTTAATACGCCTTTAAGATAGCTACGTCTATTGCGTACGTTATTGTATGCGTGCTGTTAATGTGAGCGCGCACGCACGCTCAGTAGAGTGAAGACGGTTGTGAAGAGAGATGACCGCTCTATCGCTGGCTGTTATTTTGTTGTATTGTGTTTTGCTTCCACTTTGTTTTTGTGACGTTTTGCAGTGTTAATTTCCCTGTTGGCATCTTTCAACATGTATGTGAACAGTGTGCCTAACTAGGGAAGGGCCGCAATAAATCACTCGTGGAGCTAACGTTACCAGTTCGTTTCCACTGTTTTTTTTCCTTGTCTTCATCTGGGCAGATTTAAAACTCTTGCAGACGTTACAAAGTACAATAACATAGAACAGACATTATCTTCCTTTCATGTCATTAAACATAACAATATTGCTGGCCATACACTGATGAGAAAATGCGTGTCCGGTGTGCGATAACGTTACCTGGAGTTGTCCTAGACGCGACGCGGAGCTTCTCGTCCGGTGTGCGACCCCCTTTACAGCCAACAGTTCACATTCCGAGAAAAATTGAAAAGAATAATTGTGCTCCCTTCCATAACAAATGCGCGAAACAAGCTGAAGTTTGTTGCTTGATAGACGCTAACGCACAACTAGAACTACCGCATTTGTCCAGGACTACACGTAGCCTAGTACGAGCGGAAACCGAGGTAACGTGGATATGACGCGATTGACTGGCGACTCCCAGCTCACCCCTGCTCACACGCCCCGTTTCCTTGGTTAAAATATAAATTTTCTCGCGATTTAAACATTGTTTGAAACATTTGGAATGTTGTAAGTTATCATCTTAACTAAATATATAACATTGGCCTTGTGATTTTGGGATATTTTAATGCAAAAATCTTAGGTATTCCACCTGTAATATCAACTAATAGCATTTAATTTGAGATTAATCTGTGATACATTTGAAATCAATTACATATAATATGCATTAAGTTTGTTGAAAACATTACACTTAATTCACTTAAGTGTATTGTTGACTGACATTAAAGTATATTTTAGTTCACATTAATTGAGTCATTATATTGTGTAGTGCACTTTAACTGTATTTTAAATACACTGGAAACAATTGTGAGAGTGTATGTAAAGTTCTATTAAAGTACCAATTAAGTTGTTCCAAAAAATCACTCTTAATTGCAACTTATTACACTTTATTTCAACTTAATATGTGATATATTTGAAATAAATTACATTTAATGTGCATTCAGTGCCCCGAAAAAATTCTATTTAAAGTCACACTTAAGTGCATTCATTTAAAGTGTATTATTTTAGTAATAAGTACACTTTATAAAAGTACACTAAAGTGCACTTTTTTTCACATGACTATAGTCAATGCCCCCAGTACTAGCACTATACACTAAACAGTTTTTTAGAGATAAAACTCTTTACATTCGATTATCACGAAAACAAATCTCAGAGAACGATTGACTAGGTACTGATGTTTTATTAGAAAAAAGGTTCATTGTTCGCCGAAGTTCTCCTTTAAACATTGACAAGCATCCTATGCCATCAATGGCAGCCACATCAGCGGCAGTTGTGCAAGCAGATGTTGACCGGAAGAGCACAATATGAGAGAGAGATGAGTTTGGAAGTTTGATGTGCATGTGGGATATTTAGAAAATGAATTATAAGTTTAAAAAAATGAAAAACCCAGATGAAATATGACCGAATCATTAAAACTAGCTTAGTGTGCTCTAACTCCAAAGTTTTAGGAATTTTAGCATATGCTCACTTCACTTACCTCGAGTCAAACTTCCGTCCATCCTCGAATGTGCCGTTATACTGATACCGAATATAGTCTCCGACCTGAACCTCTCTCGAACAGTGTATTGGTATCAAGTATCGATCAATAATCACATCTTCTAACTGGCCATATAAAACATGTATGAGAGTGAGGGAAAAAACGAGAATTGGTATTATCGCCATTTAATGTAAGAAGATCGATGAGAAGCGGCAGCGTCGTTCTTTGTTTTAATCGATTAGCGTATTCTGCAAGGGAAACTGACGCCAAGATAAACCCTCCGTTTTATAATAAATTACAGCAAAATGTGAAAAATTATAATTAGTTATTCGAATAGCGTCATGTAGATGTCATACTAAAACTTGTGAAATTCTGTACAAACACGCCGGAAAAAAAGTTGATGTTCAGTCTGTGGGCTACTGTAGCCTACTGCGTGTCAGAATCCATAGAAGTGCAGCAACAACCACGCGGTCCTAAACTCCATCCGATCACTCACTCCCAGCAGTTTCACACACAGTACACCCAAGTGTCTCTTTTCTGGCTACGCTGTATTTCTTTCAGATTAAGGTCATTTTAATAGACTGACCTTTAAATTATAAATTAATGATCCAACCACTAGCTATTAAATTAATAATAATTTATTATTAAATTATAAAAATATATAAAAATATAAGTAGGAAAAGAAGGCCTATAAAAATAAGTAGGAAAAAATTGCGGAAGGGACACCCACTAGCTGGGTACTTAAAATCGACGGGCTTTCAGACCCAGAAAACAGTCCTTCAGGTCAGAGCAGACCAGAATTTGAGAGGCGTTTTCCACCAAACTCTTTCAACCCCAGAGAGCCACAGATTATACGTGGAGCCTGACATGAATCTCCGCTCGTGCTCGTTAGACAGGGATCGGCACAGTTTACACTGAGGAACAAAACCATGGGCCAAACAAAACTACTATGTTTATTCGTGTTTTTCAGTACTGGATATTCTCATTTCTCTACTGTGGAGGCTCAGTATGAAAAATACAACTTCAAAAGCTTTCCACCGAACGACCTCATGCCACTGGATTCTGCGTACGGACACTCGTTAGAGATGTACTCTTCTCAGGACTGGAAACAGAGTGTTAAATATCTGAAGCTAAGCCTTCGGCTTCATCGGCTGCTGAAAGACAGCGAATCGTATTGCTGTCAGAACTGCAGCGCTGTGTGGCAGGAATATGAGAACAGCACGGACACTACGCTCTTGGTCATGGGACACATCATAAGGCGAGCCGCATGTCTAAAAATGTGCAAAACAAACTTCCCTGTGTTTTCCCAATCATATCCTAAACCAGAGACGTTGGGTGCTTTTGAACAGAGGATACCCTACCGGTACCTTCAGTATGTCTATTACCAGGTAAGATTTATTTTTATTTCAAGACTGCACTGTAATTAAATGTAAGTAAACGGGTGAGAGCGTTTTTCTGGATAAAAACATTCTTGGATCAGAATGGCGAAGACCCCCATACTGAGATATTTAAGTTTTCTCATTGTGGGAAAAAGCATTTTATGTGATTGACCAGATTTTAGCAATAACATTGATAACTGATGGATCCTTTATGATAATAGCCTATGTTGTGGTACAACTGGGCATACAGTGCAATGCAAATAGTAATCATAACATAAAGTGAGAAGTAATAGTAAACATTTTTGTCAATAAAATAAACAAATAGTTTACAGCAAATAAAAATTGTAATGAATACTAGTATAATTATATAAAAATATTGATAAAAGTAGTTTATTAATAATGCTATAGTAGCAATAGAATAATAGCAATAGAATAAGACATTTCAACAACAGAATATACACACACAAAAAATAAGTTAAATAGTGACATATATTTAATATGTAGCTCTTTTTGTTAAATTTCAGTTTTATTTATCAGTAATGGGCTAGCCATTATAAGTAGCTTCAGTCAAACATACAGCAGGATACAATGTTAAAATAGCCTAAATATAAAGTTATGAAACTTTACTTTGCCCTCAGCCAAAACTATTTACCAGGGAACCATTTATAGATTAATGAGACCAAGGATAAACACAAATTATTCGAATTATATCTCATGTTTAACCTCTAGACTAGAGACATCCGAGCCAGCGGCAACCGTGGGGTAAACGAGCGCTGGGCGGGGGCGCAGCTTACAATTCCGAAAACTTCAGATAACGTTTTAAATAGGCGCTATCTTTATAAACAAACCACATATTTGAGCATTAAACAACTACATTGTCGACTGAAAAACTATCAAAACTACATTTCGTGACACACAGTACCTCTAAAATTAAATCATGACCAAATAGAACCAAAAACAAACGTTCAGTCTTGCTTGTGAAAGGTACTTCCTCGAAAGCTGCTTTCAGTTGTGTGGCGGTTTGTCCAGCTCCAAACAGCGCACAAAACAGGCATTTTTCTCAATTCCCGGTATGAGAGGTATGGGAAAGTTGCTCTCCCCAATATGGCGGCGCCGTTGACGTACGCTCCAGCGCCAGCGGCCAATAGGGCTTCTTCTTCTTCTTCTTTAAGAGTTTAGCAGTCGGATGGCAAACCAACTTAAGGTGCATTTACCGCCACCTACCGGACTGGAGTGTGATCATCGAGGATAGTCAGAGGGATGTACACTTATACCTATAGTATAAACATTCAAATATTAAATACGGTAAAACAACCCTGTATTTTTGAGAAACTTTATCACTTGGTTTTTAATACTTTTGGATGTATTTCCTAATATATTAACTAAAGTGAGTGTTTTCCCTTCTTTATGGAGGATTGATGTTAAACAATTACGCTCTTCCTTGTAATTACTGCACTCTATCAGGACATGTTCAGCTGTTTCTGGCTGACTGCAAAATTCACAGGCTCCTGTATGATGTTTCCCTATAATGAACAACGATTTATTGAGACCTGAATGGCCAATCCTTAAACGCGTTAGCACTGCCTCTTCTCTCCGGCTTCCATCCCTAGACCTCCTCCCTCCCACATTTCTTTGCACACAGAAAAGATGTCTGCCAGTGTCGTTACTATCCCCCTGCTCTTGCCACATATCATTCATTTTACTCTGAATAATAGCTTTCCCCTCAGCTTTGCACAGCGGAACACTGATGTCAATCACCTCTAACTTCAGGGCCTGTTTAGCTAGAGTATCCGCCTCTTCATTCCCTCAACACCTACATGGGCTGGAACCCAGACAAACTGAACACAGACATCTTTGTTATGTATCTTTCTGATGTAATTTATGATATATTTTGTATAATATATCTAGTCTGCATGACTTTCCTGTTTTAATGCTCAATAACGCAGCTTGACTGTCTGAGGCAATTACAGCTCTGTTTATGCCTCCAATGTAATTCATATGCAACCAGTTAAGAGCTAAATCAATGGCAGTTAGTTCAACAGTATATACTGCAAGATAATCAGAAGTTCTCCTTTTCATTTTGATATTATACTGTGGTATATTCACTGCCGCTCCTGTTCTGCCATTGCTGGGGTCTTTAGACCCATCGGTATATATTACAAGATGCTCTTCAAACCGCTCAAAATATTTTTGAACAATGATCCCTTCTGGTGTACCTCTACTTTCCATTTTCAGTGCCTGTTGTATCTGTAAATCCACTACTGGCATAATAAATATCCACGGAGGTATAGATGGACTTGGTACTGTCGAACTGAACTTAAACTGTGTCAGGCCTACATTTTGAGCTTTAATATCCCCAATCCACCCAAAACTATTGTAAACAGACTCCTGATGTTCCCAACAATCCTACAATACAGCTTTTGCTGGGTGCCCACAGCTATGACCCTGGAGATTGACCCAGTATGTATACATTAGCTTAACTCTCCTTAATCGTAACGGGAGTTCTCCAGTTTCAACTTGCAAAGCTGCAACAGGAGACGACCTAAAAGCTCCACAGCAAATACGCAATCCTTGTGATTGTTCTCTGTCCAACTTAATCAAATGACTTTCAGCAGCTCCCATATATGCTAGACAGCCATAATCAAGGGAAGACCTCATGAGGGCCTGGTAAATCCTTAATAATGCTCCCCTTGCAGCTCCCCAGTTCTGACCAGATAAACACCTCAACAAATTATTACCTTTTTTACATTTGTTTTGAACATACTCTATGTGCTGTTTCCAGGTAAGTTTCTCATCAAATATAACTCCCAAAAACCTCACAGCACTTACTTGTTCCAACTTTTGCTCATAAAGTTTCAGTGTAATGTCTTTATGTCGTCTTGAAAAACATATAACTTGGGTCTTAGCAACAGACATCCTGAAGCCCCACTTATTAGCCCATTCCTCACTCTAAAAAATGATGTGTTGGATTTACTTAAAATATATATGCACCATTTTTGCATCATACTTTTTAAGTAATCCCAACTTGGAATAATTTTACTTAAAATTAACAAGAAAATCCTGGTTATATGTACTTAATTATTTGAGTTCACGCAACATTCTTTACTTAAAAATGTATGCATCACGTTACTTTTAAGTAAAGAATGTCACGTGAACTAAAATATTTAAGTTTATTTTATGTAAAATTATTCCAAGTTAAAAATTTACTTAATTAAATGATTACGGATTACTTAAAAAGTATGACGCAAAAATGGTGCATATATCTTTTAAGTAAATCCAACACAGTGCAGGCCATGCGAGATCAAAACAAATCTTAGTTCTGTTTACTTAACATTTAAGCTCATTTATATATAAAAATAAGACAATTAAATCAGTTGAACCAACCATTTTAACTTATTTTAGATCTTCAGCTTATATGTCTTAAAATTAATTAAACATGCAAATCACACACAATAAAGCCTTTCACTTTATTATTTATTTTTTACCCAAAACTTTTAAATTGCATCTTAAAATATATTAAAATAGAAAATAGTTGTTAAAATAATAATAATAATAGTCACAATATTACAGTTTTTTCTTGGATCAAAGAAATGAAGGCTTGGTGGGCAGAAGATATATAGGCCTATATATATATATATATATATATATATTTAAAATCAATAAAAAACTATTAAATGTAACAAATTAGTCCATTATTAAATGCCTAAATTTGTCTATAAATATCTATTAATTTAAACAAAACAGAAGTTAATTAATGACTTTTGTCCAGAGGTTTTGAACGAATCTCTTCAAAAACGTTTTAACAGTAACTACTGCAAAACAGTAAAGATCTACAATCTTTATTTGAAGCTAAACTTTTGTTTAAAGGGTATTTACTTATTTTGATAATAATTTTGAAGGTTTAATTTACTGAATTGTCGCTGTCATTTAGGAATAATATTGTGCTAGAATCAAGATTGCCATTATTTAATGATAAATTGTGCACACGGAGCTGTAGGCAATGTGTTTTTGAATGTAATATTTATGTTAACGTTACCAAGCTAACCCGCGCCCAAAGCCCCCTTCCCCGCGATCCATGTATAGATAGAGAATATGGGAATTTGTAAATATGCAAGGTACATTTGTTTTATCCAAAAACAACTCGCTAATAAAGTAGGCCTATAATTTAGGCTATCCGTGGGGGAGAAATTAAGCGCCGTCCGAATTGGTAACCGAACGCGTCAAACACGTCGCGTCTAGTTAGATGCTTGAATCTTCCGCAGCCCGCTCAAGTTCAAATTTTTCTACCGAGGAAGACGTTCGCGGCAAACGAGTCACCCAATTCGCGACGCCCGGCGCGAATGATGCGTCTTCGCGTCTTTGCATTGACTATGAATGTAATCTGCTATCGCAAATAATTAAATTCACGTTCTGTGTGAACACATCATTAATGCATAAGCCAACATCATGGTCATATATTTTGAAAAAACACAATATACTCTTCAAATACTCGCGTGCAAAACACTTATTCCATTCATTAACATGTAGACTACAAACGTTTACATTCGTAAGTAACACGTTTCTAATTGTTGATGCAAAATTTGTAGCAATTCTGAAATTCAGTTAAAAGTAAATTTCTTGACCAAAAATGCAATAAATGATCATGTGTAGGCCTAAGTACAAAAAATAAGCTTACCTCTTCTCAACGTCTTCACATGTGCTGTGAAATAAAATGGCTTAAAATTTTTGTCTGGAAAGGCATCAAGGGAAATTGCATATCACGTGGCTAATATAGTACTTAAAATGATATGCTAGATTTACTTAATTTTGACATGTTGACATGCCTTATGTATTTTTCATTTTATTTATACATACATTTAAGTGCACCTATAACTTATATGTTTGTGTTACACACTCTATATATGTTAAGTAAACGTTGAAAAGTTATGAATACTTAATTTTTTATGTTTGATCCAATTACTTTTATAAGTAATGGTTGTTCGGCCAACTAATCGTTTTTTAGACAATTG